CCCTGCCCCCCCTCCCCACTTCACTTTCTTGTTTGCTCAAGGAATGGCTTGTCAATACAAATCTGGAGAAACTGACATAAATCTGATCAATTCCCCTGCCTGCCGAACTGTAATTTGGTTCCTATTTCCCCAAAGAAACCGAGGAGGCATCAGCTAAAAAGAGGAGCGAAAAAAGATGACGAGAGAGGGAAAGCCTCGCCAGGACATGGCTGGGAAGAAGCAAAATAGTTGACGGACGATTGGTTAGCTACTGAGCTGAAGAACTGCTGTATATAGTTTCTAGCACATCAAAAATATTAGCCTGGTGCAGTTAGCAAGCCTGATTTTTTTTTTCTTCACGATTGAGAACGCTGGCTCTGAATTTTTAATTTATTTTATTCTGAAAGGCACTTACAGAACAAAAACAGAGCAACCCACAGAGCCAAAGGAAAAGGGGAGTGTTTAAGCGGTGGGACCTTGTTCCCAATTTCTCCCAAACCTGTCCTTCTGTCGAAAACTTTCTGTTTTTTTTTCCTAGAGGCCATGCTACAGTATTCTGCTTTCCCCAGCATGGGGCTCAGACTAGTTAGGCCATAAAGAGATAAAAGACCCAAAGTTGTACTTGTTCGGCATCATTCGTACAAAGATGCTGATGGGCTGATGACATGGATCATATTGATCGGGGGATGTTGAAGCTCTGTTTTCGGTGCAGGCTGCACTTCGGCACAGCGTCAAGGACAGCAAACTCCAGAAACGAGAACAGTGTGGTTTTTGAAAGCCTGCCAAAACACGCTGGCTGGGGAATTCTGGGAGTTGAAGTCCACCCAGCTTTAAAGTTGCCAAGGTTGGGAAACACTGATTTATACCCACCCGTATGAAGACTGAGTTACTCTGAATTTCTTTGTTTTTCCCTTCCCTGGATTAAGGAACTTTTTATCTATAAATCCTGTTCCCTCCTTTACGTTCTCAGAGTCCGGGAGATATTCTATCACACACAGGCATCTGGAATAAGGCATGACAGCTCTGTGTGTCACAGCGTCATCGTGCGAATGAGACAAATTCTGTAATTCTCATCCTTTGGGCAATAACATTGGGACATGTATGATCTCCTCTGCCTCCCCAATCAAGCTGGTGTATGTCCTGCATTTTAAAAAGTAAAATTCTACTCCAGTGCTTGTCCAGAAAAGCTGTTTCCTTGTGATGCTATAAATGAAGGAAATCAACATCAGCATCCCACCAGCTGGGACACCAGCCGATCATAGCTTGTTTTGCTCAGAAGCAAAAAGAACCCCTCTCTGCTCAACCTGAAACCCTGAAAAGTCCAGGTAACTTTAAGGCTTTCTTAAAGTAGACCCCAACTTCCTCTCTTTCTGATATTTTGGGACCAGAAATACTTAAAAGGACAGCTGAGAAGTTGAGGATTGCAGTCCCATGTTTCAGGGTGGCACCAGACCCAGCGGGGAGCAAACTTTTCCTACGATAATAAAGACTAAAAGTTTTGAATCCTGGAGGCAAAGAAAAACATCTCTGCGACTTTAAGTTAAGGCCTGTTCTACAAGATGGGGAATGATGCTTCTTATAGTAGGAAACTGCTGACGGGCTTAAATTCAGAGCTTCTGCTAACATCTGGAGGGAAGTGAAGAATTCCCTTCCCATGGGGTCTCTGGCTAACATCTGGCAAAGAGCACAGTGAAATCCAGTTATATCGTTAACATCTGGAAAAGACACCATTGGGTTTCTCCCCAAGTTCTTTTAAACACAGAGAAAAAAGAAATGTGGTTGTAGCTAACATCTGGAAGACATCAGGGCACTTTTCCTCTAGCATCTGGAGGAAAGGATTTTTTTTTTGCAGAGGGTAAGCAAATAGAACCAGCTTCCCCCAACATCTGGAGCCAAAATCTCCCATGAACTAACATGATGGAATCAGATCAGATTCCTGTAGACACAACTTCATTCCAAAGAGAGTTTGGAGATTTCTCTGGCTGCAGGCCAACTCTGCATTTTTATAAGCTTGCTCTGCTGCTGTTTTCAATTAAAACACACCCACGTGGATATTCACCCCAAGTCTGATCTTTTGAAAAAATGGGCTCCTTGTTATCACCCTTTTCAGAATGACTTTTTTTTCACATGCGCTGGGTGTGAGCTGACCTTCTGCTCTAGAGATTGTCACTCTGAGCTTCTGGAGGACGGAGGGCGAGAAGTAATTCCTACCTAACACTTCCATCCATGCTCTCTGCCCCACAGATAAGACTGAGACAGTGAGAAAATGAAGCCGAGTTTGTTCTGCTATTTGTCCAAGGAAGCAACCAAAAATCAAAGCCTATCTCAGCTGAGCTTCTGAAGGGCCTTCCCTAAACTGGACTAACCCCCTCCAATCCAGCCCCCCAGACTTTGGCCACGCTTGTTGGGAAGGATGGGGAATGCAGTCCGAAGCCATCAGGTTGGGGATCTCCAGACCAAGAAACCCAACCCCAAACCTCAATAATATATTAAGTGGCAGAAGACTCTTTGCTGTTTTCTGTAACAAATTACAAAGGGGGGAATTGATCAGTAGTCAGTTCAATGTTTGAAATAAGCACCAGAGGGAATCTACATATGAATGGTGTGAACATAACAAAGAGCCTTCTCCCATTGCATTCTTGAATAATATAACCTCTCTGACTACTGGCGGGTCCCTGGGCACCAAAGCCTCCACTGAGCTAACTGGATTTTCTGGCTTCTGCATCCTGCAAGGGTCTTTCTGGTTAGGAACACTAGAGGCAGCCTGCTATGGAGGCCAGCGGTTAGGACGCTCAGCCCAAAGGTGCAGAAAGACAACCCGGGGGCCACGCAGCCTTTCCTGGATGTCTAGAGTCACCCTTGTGCATGGCTTTAAAAACAGGCTTTCTTTTTGTGGGGGGGGCTTCAAAATTCTGACACCCCCCCTCCAAGCTTGCAACCTCTCAGGAGAATTGGGGATCGAATGGGGGAGGTGAAGCAGGTTCTACCCCCGTGTGTTTTTCCAGCCGGGGCTGCAAACACAGGTACTCACGGGTGCAGCCGCTCTTGCTGTCGGTGACAATGCCACGGAAGTTCCAGAAGCCGGGTTCGCAGCGGTCGCATTTCAGCCCCCCAACGCCGGGTTTGCAGGAACACTGACCCGTGGTGGGGTCGCAACTCCCTCCATAGGAGCCATAGGGGTTACAGTGACAAGTGCCTACGAGAGAGGAGGCAGGGGATGGTGAGGTCTCCACAGATCGGTTTGGTGGGGGTGCCAGCAGCCCCTCGCCCCACCCTATTTCTCCACAAGTGGAAGAGTTATCAGAAGCAGCAAAAACCTTGCTGGCTCTTGGAAGGGGAAGGGGAAGGGGAAGGGGAGGGAAGGGGAGGAGGAGGAGGAAAGGAAAGGAAAGGAGGAGGGAGGAAGGAAGGGAAGGGGAGAGAAGGGAAGGGAAGGGAAGGGAAGGGAAGGGAAGGGAAGGGAAGGGAAGGGGAGGAAGGGAGGGAGGAAGGGAGGGAGGGAGGGAGAAAGGGAGAAAGGAAAGAAGGGGAAAGGAAAGGAAAGGAAAGGAAAGGAAAGGAAAGG